CTCTTGCAGGACACTTACGGGGTACTTATCTTGCCTGAGCAAATAGCAGCTTCCTTGGAGACCATTCGATGCCTATATCCTGAACATTTAGCAACCCTTGGTTCCTTGTAAGGGCCCCTTTCTCTCATATTCTTTTGACCGTTCGTACTTGTGACAAAAAGACTGAAGAGCGCTTTTTTCTGCACTTATGTTTTGCAAGTTCCTACAGTAATGAATCTGGCGTCATTTTGTTGCATAGCGGTCATGCGATGCGTGGAAATCGATGTCATAGTGAATTGAACCAACGAATGCTTTCTTCGTTGTCGAAAATTCCTAATTCTTCATTCCGTAATGATGATTGATGCCGGCTAGGTCTCTTAGGAGTCCACGTAATCTTTGAAACATGCACTCGCCATTGGGCGGGGCGTTGGCGTAGGTGTCCGAGTTGTCACGAGTGCGCTCAGTTTTACGCACGAGCACTTTCACCGTCTCGCCTTATGAGCCGTTGACATCACTTTGTGTTACGTTGACTTTCTTTTCTAGCATTTATCAGTACTTATTGGATCTGTTTTCAACATGGCTACTTTGTTTACTCATTTGTTTACTATTTGTAACAACAAAACCACTGGCATTGTTTGTGAGGGTAATTTCTTGCTTTTACTTTCAATATTAACTTTTCTTTCATAGGCAGCTCACTGATTACTGCAGTGGCTTTCACTTTATTTAGTTTTTTCTTTAGTGATCTGTTTTTCGTTTGGCTTCTCGGCAAGGGCTAATTTTCTACTATTCTTTCAGCAAAACTGGCTCTTATTGAGTTGTTTTTATGCAAAATAAACCAGTGGGACTCAAATTACTTTTTTTTCGCTTAATGGACAATTAACTGCAAACAATTACTTAAATCGATGGGTTTCTTTTTTCCGAACTGTTGCCAGTGTGTTGCCGTAATCGTCAATCAATGCATTCCGTTCCGTTCCTCGTAGTGGAGCCAGGGGAAGTGTTTCACCTGCGCTCCCCCTCCCTCCTTTCCGTTTCACTTTTGAAAATGTTTTTTGAAGGTTTAGAACTGGTTATGGAATCGTTCCAATTTCCTAATTCGCAAGCCAATGCTGTTTGAAATAGCAGCAAAGTCACCACTAATGAGAATGGCCTTTAATTATTTTCTCTGGTTTTGTTTAGCCTTTCCAAAAATAACCCTAAAGTTGCCAAACAAATCGCTCAAACCATTTTGCGTGGTGTCATCTGAAATCGATTGATTGCTTCGTGCTGTTATCAAATTCTAGTAGTTGTTTGTATCGCCTTCAAACGATCACCTTTAAGAGAGGTAATCGGTTTCCACTATTTTTGTTGTCTGTAATTCCTGCTACCTGATTGTACACCCGTTTCCTCCTGGATTACCGACACCGGTCTTTATGTTCTTCCATCATTTTCCGTTTTTTTTTTTTGGTCGGAAAAGTTCTTTTTTTGGTTGGCTGATGTCAAAAAAGTTGTTTAGTTTGGTTTACTGAATCGGACTTCTCTTTTGATCAAGTTATAGCCATTTTAAAATTTCAGGCTAGGCTGGCAAGGTGCTTGGGGTGGAATCTATTAACTGGAGGTCCTACGGGTTAAACCTAGTAACTTTATCTTAGAAATCTAAGGGTTCTGGATTTTGTATTGCTAGCTGTATACCGATTCTGACTCATTACAGACACTGTTTTTCTTGAGTAGGATCTGGGATAGTAGAATTAGGAGCGTTGTAAAATTCGTGGTCCAGGGATCAAATCCTGGGCCCCTACCCGCTACTGAACCCTACACCCTTCGATGTCTGCTGTTGGGTGCGAAAGTCATTTGAAATGGTAATAGTGCTGAATTCAGTGCATTTGGTAGCCCACGCAAGTCGTTTTATAAACCACCATACATATTCAGACACCATTACGGCCTCGATTAGGAATGGAACGCGTGGGCGCAGTCCAACTCAAGTTTGTCGACGTCAAAACTTCTGTTGTAAGCTTTTGATTACTTCTATCAAATATTCGGATGACGGGCTGTTGCACATTGTTTGATTGACGTCAATAATTCAATTATTTTCATTTGAGTCTGTTGTGCGGTCCCAGTGAAGGCAGAAGGTTGAATAGCAAACATTGATTGATCTTTTCCGAACATGAGGCTCCAAATTCTGACCGCAATTCAACAAACGTCTTATAAATCAGACATGAATAAAGTAAAATCGCTACAGCGCCTTGGTACCTCCAATCAATAGCCATGCCTCCAATTCATTCATAGCTGGTGTTTGGGTAAAAGTTACGATTCTAATGGCTTAAGTATCACATCTGTCCGTATTAGAAATATGGTTCGGGTGCCAGTGATATATGGCAGTCGGCAAAACCGGATGTTTTGAAGAGTAGTGGGTTGCGCTGTGACGGGAGAGGCCAAATTAGACGCTTTCGCTGATTGCATTTCTTATAAACGGCATTATTTTTCAATGTATACATTATGAATGAATCATTAGACGGAGGCAGAAGTCGCGTGATGTTTTCGAAGGGTGGAATTTAGTCAAAATGGAAGCGATAAAAGTACCTAGCAGTACTTTGCGGACTCTGCTGAGTCGTCAAAATCGCCTGGAAAGGAAAAATATTTGTGGAAAGCTGCCTTGCGCCTGCGATGTCTAAACAAATGTAGGTTTGTTTACGCGGTTTGTTGTATCTATTAGCGGTCACTTTGTTTGTGAAGCTGCTTTGCCCAACTCATTCAAAAATAAGTAATCGATCGTGTTGTCGAGGCAACGCTTTTTTTTTTNTTTTTTTTTGTTATTCTAGAAATATCTTATCATTATTGAGTCTGCAAGACGTACAAAGATAATGTCAAGGCGAAGAAGTTTTCTGGAAGTGTGTTATACCTTTTTCCGTGTGAGGAAAGCTTTATACATGAACAGAGAATTCTGTTTGATCAGCTGTCGTGTCGCCATTTTTGATTCGGCATATTGTGGTAGTGATCGATAACAAAGGTATTTTCATTCTACTTGTGAAGGTTAATGTGAATTTCAACCATAAATTGAAATGAGCCTATCCCATCTTTCAAAACCTCCGTTCTCATTTATGAAAGCGCTTACGAACCGGTTCTGTTATACATACCACCTTTTTGGGATCCTCATTGGCGTTGTTGTGACGGTGAGAAGAACCCGTTAAGGGCTCTAACCAAAACAGGGAACAGGAATGGGCATCGACACAAATTCACCTTTTGCTGGACCTATCCGATGGTGAAGTTGACTGCTGTGACGTGAGGTTTTTTCGCTTGAGTTGGACGCTTTCTTTCGTCAACTCTATGGTTGGCGAAATTTTTAGCTAGAGGCTTTTCTATTTTATTATTTGTTTTTTCGCGGTTGAATGCTTGCTCTGAGCTCAAATGCGTTTTCAGATGATTTTTGCCAAAATGTTTATTGAATTTTTTTTGAAATTTAGTTACCACACTGGCATATTGTTTTTGGGCTCACGTTATTGATCGCTACTGCTTGAATAACTTTTTGTAGTTAAAGGCATGTAAAGATAGTGACTTGGTTTGTAATTGATCACTCATTCCTGGGCTTGTCCGGAAGGCATGATTGGCGGGTTTGTTTGCAATCCATCAAAAACCCTAGAAGCGTTCAAGCAATGTTATGTAAGTCATGAGAATTTTATTGACACACATTTTTTGTTAAGTGCTTACATCAGCATAGCTATTTTTCTTTTCGTAACATGTCGATTTCTACGTTTTCCGAATTCCCTTTCGATAATACCCTCTCTGTGTTTACTGTATTGCTTCATGTTATAGTACCAATCCCGGTTTGACTTTCCTGTACGAGTTTTATTGCCCTGGTCCGCGGGAAAGGTTATGATGTAGGTTCATTTGGATTACTAAATTATAACAAAGGTCGTTGTATCAGTATATACATGATTTCCCGGGTTCCGATTATGAAAGGACATTCTGCTTCACGACAGAGTGAATCGTTGAAACTTTTTGGATAAACCTCAGGGAGTATAAAAGCACAAGAGAATTCTTTCCGAATTTGGAACTTCTTGGATGTTGGGAATCCTCGCTAAAAATTGTTCTGGAGACATGTTTTTGGAGGTTCTCTTCCGAAATAGCATAATTTTGCTGAATTTGGCGGTGATTTTCGGAAAATTCCATGTCTTGGGTTTGCTTGATCGAGGTCTCTGCGAAAGATATCATTCAGTGATCATTATGAGCTGATCATTTCAATGCAGAAAAGATCGTTGAAACGTTTTTTGAAATTTCCAAGGTTTAGGGAGCATATGAAAGGTCATATTCCAAATAACAAGAAATTTGGATGCTGTTCACTTATTCACTGAATCACTAAAAATTATTTTAAAGGTAATTAGCTCGTGGGTTTTTAAGAGGCGGTCCATAAATGCTCGATTTGAAGAGAATTTTCAAAATCGTTTCGAATCCTAGTTCGTTTGGTCGATTTTTGAGGTCTCAGCTGTGGAGGATCACTAAGTGATCATTATTTCTCGTGAACGAAGTGAAAACATTGAGCGGATCGCCCTTTATCGTGTATGAAACTGAAGCTCACGTGCTAAGTTGTCTATACGACTGTTGTTGTAATCTGCCAATGAGCAAATAATGTGCTATCCTTCAGTTACGTCATTTTTGCGTCACAACTGTGCTTTGTTGTTGGACCAACATCTGCTCACTGTTTTGGTGTTTGTTGTTGCTTTCCTTCGAGCTCTCGTCCGAAAGAATGAATCGCTCACAACAATGTGCTGTTCATACTCGTTGTATCCGTGGTTCTTCTCGTGTTCTGCCCTAACCTTGGGAAAACCTGCTAGTCATTCATTCGGTCGTAGCCTCCTGACATTGATGTGCCTTTAATTCGTTAGCTTAATCTTCGGGCTTCCGTTCGAGGAAACGATCGGCGCCCGAATCCATTCATCCCATCTAGTTCTCAAAGCGTGCATTTCTCGTGAAGCATCGCATTACGTGCTTTCGTGACCACTCGTAATTTACATTTTATTTCTTATTTCAGATATTGGTGGCCTTTGGCAATGGCTGGAAGTGATTGGCCACCTTGGGAACGTTTCAATGATTGGGTGCATTCGATTTGTGTGGTCACTTTCGATTTGGAGTTAGGACAAGCTCTTGAGGTACTTCTCTATTGTTTTTCGTTTTTTTCTTTTTTTCATTCGCTTTCAGTGTTTTTTAGCTCTATATAGTAGCTTTTCTCTCGATACGTCATCTATTCCCTTTGAAATAGTTTAACGAGCTACGCTGCTGTCACAATGGCATTCAATTCTCTGACGACGACGCATTTCTTTTTGCTTCAAGAGCCGCGATGACACTCAGTCTTTGTCCAAAATAGTTTCTGAGTACTGCGAGGCATTGTTCATGGAAGTAGCTCAATATTCCCAAGTTTGGTTGAGTTGAATCAACATTTAGATGTATGCAGACCCGAGTGTAATGCAAATGCTGGGCATAGGAAATAAAACGATATTGGATATCGGAGCTGTAAATGAAGGTAATTGAAAGAGTTGTACGTCAGAATGGTTAAGTACAATGTAGAGAAGACAAACTGGTTGGCTCAAAGAAAAATAGCTAAATCCACTATTGTCGATCACTTAGTTTTGCTAAACTCATTCTTTTTATTTTTGCAGATTAGAAATTTGATTCCTTCCAAAAGCAGGCGGTTTTACTTCTCCGCTCGATTGAAAAAAAAATATTTACCTACTGTGATGTGTTTTAGGTGATCTATCCGGGTGATGCAGTTCTGAGCACACAAGAGAAAACAAATATTTGCTACCTGGCTTTTCCAGATTCCAATAGTGGTAATACCAAAGATACGAATTTCCACTTTCGTATAAGGAGGTTGGAACGACAATATAGCTTTTTTTTGTTTCAATGAAGCAAACTCAGGGAAGTTTACGTTTCTTCCAGAGGTACGACTGAAATCACTTCCTCCCAACGTGCACTTCTGGAATGCTCCTCCCATGCAGCGTCGTTTGACCCCAGTTATCTTTATGGTTTTGTGCATTTCCGACAACAAAAGGATGCTTCAATACATCGTGGATATTATCAGAAGGTACCAATATGTATTTTAACTTTTTTTTTGGAATATTCCAGGTCCTAATCACTTTGGTGTGATATAAAGTATTGCCACAGTTTCGCTGTACATGAACGGCTTCGAAGATGTTATTTTGGAACAGAATGTTCTCAATTTCAGAGTCTTGTTTTGATCACCATTCTACCATTCTTCAACCTCTTCTCCCTGGTTATTGAGAGAATCGCTCTACAGTTCTTCGAAAATGGAGAACCCGCTATTGAAGCCGGTTAGTTGGAGTTACCTGATAACTTTCGTACTATCTATCAATACGGTCATATTCAAGTGGAGTCGTTGTTAAGCTTATATTCAGTATTTTTTCTTTGTGGTGATTTTGTACAGATCTTTCTTTGTGATCATGCGTATTTTTCAAAACTTCTTGAAACCGTAGCAGTAGCAGTAGAGGCAATTCAAATACAAATCGGAGTGGGGTATGATTTTGGCTCCGTCGTGATTAACCTTTTCCCCATTTACTCGCTGTCGCTGATGAAATATAGGCTTATTTTCCAAGGATTTTGAAGACTTTTATTTTATATGTATTGATTGGTGTCTGCTGATCGATATTTTTGCTTATTTGATTTATTGCGATAGATAATTGTGTGCTTCTCTATGTTACAACTGGGTTTTATTTGATTATTCATCTATTTACATACCCTTTCATTCCTGAGCTATTCTACTCGTATGATTCGTAATTGCCACTTTGAGGGGTCTTCATTTTCCGTCTTTCCGGCAGATAACCAGCATCTTTCACCTTGTGTCGAAAAAAACTGGACCTTTCAAAGCTCTGTAATTGTAACGAGCATGGCCCTGAATATTGAATTTTCACAAAGCTTTTCAATTTCGAAACTTGGCTTTGTCTTCTTTTCCCAACGATTCCGTTTAGCATGTCACGACATGGATCAATGGCCATCACCCTGCGTTGGCGAGCCGCTATCACTGCCGTTGCTAGGCTCACTTCTTCGAATTCGTATTCCCTGCAAAGCTGATTTGCCGCTAGACTTTCGCCTTGTACCAACTCTGAAGGTATGAATTTGTCACATTCCATTCATAATTATTTTCACTTTAACTTTTTGTGTAGGATATCACCGGCAGCCATGTGAATACGGTAGTTTTGACGTCAGTTCATCAAGTCGATATGTATAAGGCACTACATACAGTTATTAATCATCTTCAATTGCTTTGGGAACTTGTACTACTGGGCGAGGTAGGAAGTTGTGAATTTTCAATCAGATTCTGTTTCTTTTCTTTTCTTATTGATCAAAAGTGAATGTTGATATTCAGCCCCTACTCGTTATGGCTAATACTCCGCAACGCTGCTCCTCTATAGTGCAGGTAGGCTATATTTGCTAAAGGGTATTGTGGAATTTGAGTCCGTTCCGTTTTGAATTCAGCATTGTTTCAGGCGTTAGTCTCATTGATTGCTCCTTTGCGATACTACAATGACTTCCGGCCATTTTTTACGATTCATGACTCGGAGTTCAAAGAGTATTCCACTAAAAGTAGACCGCCGTGAGTTATATTTGCTTTCAATATTCAATTGACATCGTTTTTTGTGCATGACTTTGCTCTACGCCTCTGATTTCTATTTCAACCTAAATCGACTTTTTTAGGCCAAAAGTGATGTTGGGGGTGACCAACCCTTTCTTTATAAAAGCATTGGATCACTGGCCACATATTCTCAAGGTAGGCGACACTGTCGAAGGTTCCGACGTACCAGAACGGCAGGAGAAGACGAGGTGAGCTTTTTAAAATAGTGTTTTTTATTCTAGGGATATGCAAACATAGATAGATCGATTATCTAAAAAATTTTCAGGAAAAATTGGGACGGTCGAACGCTTGACACGAAACCTGGTATTTATACGCAGTACAAAACGTTCCTGAATAAAGATAAGAGCGTCGCTAAGAAATTGTTGAAGGGAGATCGACCATCAGAGGTTCGTTAGTGATTTTCAAGTATTTTTTATTCTTGACATTATGTTTCTATATTAAGGTCCAATGTAACATATTACGACGACACTTTCTCGAGTTAACTCAAAGCTTCATGATTCCTCTGGAACGATACCTCTCATCTCTTATGCCTCTACGTAAGGAAATGTCGCCATTTAAGGTGAGTCAAGCGAGTTTCATTCTATTTTCGCTTTTTGCCGTTGTTCCAAATTTGGTTGCGTATATTTTTTGATCATATAAGTTTGGCAATTGGGTTTTTGCGTGTTTTTTCAACCAATGAGTTCTTCAAATATTTACATGAGAGAAGCGAACTATGTGTGTTTTTCTAAGGTAATTTGTGTTTATAAACCAGGTTTAGGAGTATTTTATGATCAGTGTTTAATTTAATATGGTTAGTTTTTGTAGAAAGGGTTGTTATATTTCCTAGAAAGTTCCTAGTAGTAGGTTGTTAACTTTAATCAGTTAACAACCTACTACTTCAGAAGCAGTCTAAAAGTTTGCAAAAGAAAAGAAAGTAGATTAAAAGGCTACCTGAATGGTTAAGCCAGAACCTTTTTTTTTCAGCTTAATTTTTTTAAGCTAAGAGGTTTTCATTTGTATTCGGGATTCAATCGGCCCAAATATTTTTGGGATAGTGATGCATGAGAATGTACTGGTCCACTTAAGCACTATTGCTTACCCCGTTTTGTGGCTGTTAAAATTAAGCGTTTCGATTGTCCACATTTAGTCCTATCCAATTTTCGCCCATTATCCTTGCACTTCTTTTTAATCGTGGCTTGCAAATGAAACGATTCATTCGGCTCATATTATTCTTGGAATAGTGGGAAGAGATCGTGGGAGAAGCTTGAAAAAAGCTGACGTAGCCGTTATCCCATTACATTGTCTCCTTTGAAATCCACTCATCCGTGAACTTGTTGACCATATCTCGTATCTCACGAGTTCTAGTGTTGGATGCCAAAAATACCACGAAGTAGCCGGGTAATGCGTCTTTGTAGGGGGCTTGAAAAATCGATAGATGGCGATTATGAACGTAATTAGGTAAATGGGTAGGTAAGGCAAATAATGTATGCGATCGTATCCGCAGCCTGCAAAAAGAGGGAGTTAGCAAGAGCAGGCAGGGTTAATGGCGAGATGATCGTAATTCAACGGGGAGAAATAGATGCAAAGCAAGCTTGAACTGGGTATTCTCATTCAGTCACCGTAGTTTCAAATCTTGTTCAAACACACTTGTAATCCTTGGGTGTAATTAAATATAATTGTAATTGTAATTTTCGGTTGTATCAAAACGAATATTTCAGGCCATTCCTAGTGCACGACCGTTTTCTATCGAGGAATTTCTGCTCACTATTGATGCGTCGGGTCCATCCTTGACTTGTGGAGTGAAAGGAGATTGGCCAGGTCGGTACTTCTTTCCTTTCTCTGGAAATATTTTGGCATCATTCCGATTATTTATTTACTTCGTTTAGGTTTGTATCGTCGATTTGTAAGCAGCCCAAATTTTGTCGGTTGGCTATCGAGCCGTACGCGTGACGTGAATGCTCAACTCAAAGCGCAGTATGTGGAGGCCTTATGTTCTGCAGACCTGGGTAAGTGCACACATTATACCCGAAATGAAGATTATGATAATCAGACATTTTGATTTCGGGAAATATAACGTAATCAAGTAAAAAGTATCGAAACAAAATTTTTCTGAAGTTTCAACAAATCCTAATCGTGGGAATGATGTTGGTGGGAAAAAGAGCGTGTTGTTGCTTGACACCACCCGTTAACTTTCCTTACTATGGCTATAGTGCTTTGCAAGAAGAAGAGGTCCTCTTGGCACCGAATTCTCACCACTCATGGGTATTTATAGGATTTTCATATTTCTTTTGTCTTTTTGCCCCCTCCCCCTTCCCTCTCGTACATTTGAATATGGCAAAGGAGTGGAACAAGCAATGTGTTGATGTATTTATTTTGTAACTTGAAATTTCAAGTGGGTTGACATGAATTTGTGGCACTTTAAAAAAGCAGAACTTGTTTCAGGGGCGAAAGTGTTGGCAACGAAACATCATGTGGAAATTGTGGATTTAGTTTTGAGAGTGCGACAGCGAATAATGGAAATGGAAGATGCAAGTGAGAAAAGGAATCAGCTGGTTGGTGGTCTTGTTTCAATTGGTTTAGCATTTTTGATTTTGACGATTAATTGCCGACTTTGTCTACTTTGTCAAAAGAGCGTCTCCGTGATCGGGTCATGAGACAGTCATCGATGGAACTCCCATCAAAAGAAATGAAGTTACTATGAAGCATAGATATTACAATGAAATTCTTTCATAACAAGAACGTTTTCTTTCCATTGAAAGGGGTGCCTTGGCGTCAGATGTTACGTATAATCGAAAAAAATCTGCAGGAGAATCCGGGCGCCAATAAGCTGTGATGTTTTTCGGTCTCTGTCATAGCTGGCTAGCATTGTCTGTGATAGTCTGCCTTTTTGGTGGTCTAGCTTCTGTAGATGGGGTTTTGAGTTATACATTTACATTTAATCTCGTAACTTTTGTTCACGTCTCCAATTAATGAATAAATAATACTACGACAGGCTTTACATTTGAGCGAAACTGTGTAGGTACAGGACACAGTGCGCTCCAATGTGAAGAGTGCCGTCCACAGCGCAGCTGCACCTAAGCATGAGTAACCTGCGCAGATTTTATGCTGTATCGCTCCATGCTGCATTTCGCACTGACCATATTCCGTCCGGGTGTATGTCGTTTGGCGCGATGGCGCTTGAGCGCGTTTACGTACAGCGACGTGCAGCGTTGCTGGACTTGGTCTTGGCGGCGGCGCGGAAAAACAAAAAAAAGCGGCCTACCAGCGCTGAGTGCAAGCTGTTGACACAAAATCGTCGAGCACTCAACGCTCAACGCTCTGCTGTGTGCTCAAATACTTAGTCACGAGTAAAATAGAAGGGCAACCAATTTAAAGCGTTCTTTACTTTGTGCTCGTCTGTGCCTGACTCCTCAAGATCAGCGTTGCATTGTTTCCTACACAAGCTAATGCAAACTGTTCTTGTGATTCTGTAGTAACCTCTGTGTAATGGCGGATCACGTGGGTCTCCGAGGGCACTTGAAAGATTCACAAGCACAGTTCGAGACTAGAACCGCTTGTTTCTCAGCATACTCGATAGCATCGTTCATTACACGATCTTTATTCACTCTTTATTCTTCTTCACCTTTCACTTTTATTTTGATTACTTTTTAGTTTTTTTGCTAATGCTCATGTGGTTTAAATGAATCAAATATAGGTACGTCAAATCGCCTCGATATTGGCTGGCGTCGATGAGGAGTTAAAACAGGTGTTAATGTCAAATTGTTCGCTTCGAGAAATTGTATCATAACTATAGGTTTATTGGTGATTTTATCTAAATAACAACGTCATTTGTGATTTTTGATTTCTGTTCCGAACAGAAATTGTAGAGATTTATCAGTTTGTAACATGTTCTGTCATTGTCGTTGCTCAGTAGATATCATGGGTCTAGTGGCGCACACACTTTGTGGGTATTGATCGCGCGGTCGCGGGCGCCCGGTGTGGCCGCGTGCCGCCCGCGGCTGCGCAGTCAATATCCATAGAGCGCGTACGCGAGTAGGCTCACGATTGCTGCTGTACATGTCCAACCTGGTTTCTGTTCTTTTCCAGCTACCTATCCTTGTCCTTATGTTTTATGGGTAGAATATATACTATTATTAGTAGTGTAATCGTTGTTCAAGTGCCAAAAAATGGAACTGTCCCGTTGATCTGTTTCCATATTATCATATTGATTGACTGATTCGTCTTCATATCTCTAGGTTATTTCGAGAGTCTCATTCTCATCACTTCTCATTCGTTTTTTCTCCCCGCATCGGTTTCCAAGATATGTATGTGTGCTGAAACGACATAATATCGAAAGATACGGGTAGCTGTGAGGTGGTAGTTCACGTTATTGTGTGTTGTTCTTGATATTTTGTATATTTTAGAATAAATGTGTATATCGTTAGTTGGTTCTCTTATCAAGTCGGAAATAATGTATCGAATGTCTATACCTTGCGAAGTTCATTTTTTTTTTTGCTCGGAATAGAAAGACAGACAGACGGGGAATAGCCTGATTAGCTACGTTCATACTCCGCGCGTTTTATAAAAGCGTGGGCGCCGAGCTCCGATGGCGCCGACTGTCGATCGATATCCATGGCTGGTGGTTGCTGCTGCATCGAATAGTTTTTCTATCGTTGGGATTGCCTATTTTACCTCGCTCTTTTTCCATAACACTTTTCATTTCCATATTTGTCGAACCGTTATAATGAGACACTGATTGTTAGTCATCATCTTAACAAAGTGAGGAACGTTCATTAGTGATCAAGACCATTTAGCCTCGGAATTGACTTTTGCTTTGTTTTTTTTTTTCGCATAGCAACCTTCTACAAATTTTTAATTGGCGGCTCTATATTAGAGCTTTGGTTTAGTGTGGCTTCGCTGTCTTAGAATGCTTTATTATTAGTTTTGGTTTAAGCTCTAGTCTTCTTTTTCACGGGTTTAGTAAAATAGAAAGGAAATGAGCCTTTCAAGGTAAGCAAAATCGTTTCTAACAAAAACTACTGGACATTAATTAGAACCATAATCACTC